GTGCTGGTACAAACTTATAACTTCTGTGCCTTGAAGTCAATAAGAATTGTAAAAAATTATATTTTTTGTTTTGTTTTAGCTATCACAGTTTTCAAATAAAGGTCGACGCGAGTACTTTTGCACCAATATAATACAATATTCACATATGGACTACCGGCTGCATAATAAACCTATGTGTTTGAAAGCATTAATTTGTACATATTTTAATGATATATTTATCGAAACACAAATTATAATAATTTTTAAAATAAAAACATTATTTACAAATATAAAAATTAATTTTTAAAATAATTTTAATTAAACACAATAAATAAATGTGACTTTTGTTGTTTATGTTTCAAAACATTGTACTAAACAGTATATATTTATATGTGTTTGTGCTAGTTACAGTTTGCTAATATTTTTACTTAGGTTTATTTAACAAACGACAGTCCATATACTGGTACACATATAAAGGATCTATAACACAGAAACTGCATTTGTAATAAATGATAAATACATAAAAATCATTGCAAAGATTTTTATTGTCTTTTATATCGCAGATTAATGATTCAAAGCTACGGTATTAATAACTATTAGGATAAATAACTAATTAGTCTTTAAGGTTATCAATCTCATTTTGAATTATTTCGCGACATTCATGATAAATAAAATAATTAAACGTCTATGAGGCCGATATTAAATGATTGTTACATAAATATGCATTGTTTTATGAAAACATTAAAGGTTATTGTTTTATTTTATTGAAAATAATATTTTCGATAATTATTTTGAAATAATTATTAATCATTCATTCAATGAATACGTTTCCATATTCTGATGGCTTGATTATCAGGTCTCACTTCAGCGGCGGAAACCAAAAAATTCATAAAATTAAGATTTAACCCGCCACCCCAACTTCCCGCATATAGATCATTGGTAGTTGTACCGGGTGTAATATGGTAGGTACGTGCCGTCTCATTTATTGCTTTATCGTGCGTACCTACGTTTATTAATCTTGGTGAATCTTGCTTTTGAACATTACCATTAAACTTCTCGCTCGCCCCACCTTCGGCTCGGAAAAATAAGCCTGCATACGATGGGGTGACATTGCACCAGTACATCTTAGGCCACAAAACCGTGGGCTCGGGTTGGTTTGGTAGCTGTATGTATATGAAACCAATGGGTACTAAATTTTTCTGATATTCTTGCAAATCATGTATAACTTGTCGCATATTTGTCTGATTGGTTCGCAATTCATTGATCATACCACCCAGTATGTTTATGTTTATAAGCTCATCAGTCAAATCCAAAATTGTTTGTTTCATATTTGTCTGGTTAGCCTGCAATTCGTCAATTCTACGCTGTATGTCATCGTGTGTAGATTGTTGACCATTTTGGCATACTACTTTATTTTGCTTGTTGCATGCTACATCCACCCATTTACCCGTATTAGGAGGAGCTGGCTCCATTTGCACGCAATCATTTGCAGCATCGGATGGCTCACTTGGTTCCCAATTAGTGTAGTCATCGGTGGACTCATCTACCCAGGTCATCTTCTTGTCACTCACGCTGGCACCGATCCATACGCTGTCAACGATTTTATATTTCGTGAATAATAGGTCTGATAGGAAGTCCTGTTCCTGTTGTGAGTGTATGGTTAGTAGTGTAGCGCCTGAACCCTGTTTGTTGCATAAGTCCTGAGCCAAGTCGTAGTTTTTAAGTTCATCAGGCAAAATTTTGAAACATTTTTTTTCCAGATACGGTTCCCATCCTTCGGGACAATTTGATTCACCATGCACAGCTGTTAGATACAAAATTATAATTAATAAATTAGATTAAAAATAATAATATTATTATTTAGAAATAATTTACAAAATTACAATATTATATTAATAAACATGAAACTGAATGTTTAAAATAAATTATCATTACAAAATAGTATACTGTAAATTATGTGTTTAATAATCATAATAGTATCAATCTAATAATATTATACATACATAATGTAAATACAAAACAAAACATCAATAATATAATAGACTTCATGATCAAATAATTTTCAGTTAAAATTTTATTTATTGAATAGTAAATCTGTATGAAATGACTGTATTTATACAAAAATATAATCATGAACAATTCAAATGATTGATAGTTTAAATCTATTTTAACTTATAATCTTATTTTGTTTACTTAATTTAAGTAATTTTACGAAAACATGTATGATTTATATTTTGATAATTATTTGACATGAATAACATTGTATTTTTAGATACAGACTAGACACTATTAATCAATAAAATATTTTAAAATATAAAATATGATTCAGCATGCACACGTGGACCTAAACATCTTATAATTAATAATGTTAAATTTATATTCTATTATTATATCTTTGTTATGAATACTTATTTTAAACTTACCACCGGTTAATAAAAAAAAATATGCAGTACTGCAACTTGAACATATTTCATTTTCAAAACTGTATTAAAAGTTTACTAAAAATTTAATATTTATTAAAAAATTTCAATTTATTATTTTATATATAATATTATAACCCGAAAACATACTTGAAGTACTTATATTATTTAGAAATAAATTTACTAAATCATGTACTTATACTTTAAGTATCATGATCACTATGTTGTAATGCTAAAAAACAAAACCGTTTCTCACTGAAAGTCACACAATAATGATCTGTACGTAAGGTAAGTGTCAATTACCACATTACAATATTAATTAATCATTTTGTTTGCGTAATTTCAGACACAATTGTTTTGACTATTATTTTGACAATTAATGCATTGCTTTAATGAGTTATTTTTAGTGCAAACTTATGGTATATATTTTACGCACACAAAATGCGTCAATAGTTTTAAAAACATTTTTTTGCAATGATTTTGTATAACAAAAGCTCAACTCATTTAATAATAATGTCTTGAATGTTAAACTTAGTTCAGTTTATCCTGTTTATTTGTGCAAATGTTCATCATATTGGCGGTTAGTAATGCTTACTCTAGCAATATTATTTAAACAATTTTATATTTGCCTTTGCAAAGTACCGCTATTTTTATAAATGATGATTTTAAGGCCATGCCCCTATGAAACGGTATTCATATTGTAAGCTCATTAGCATTATATAATGTTAGCCAGACTATTTTTGACACATAAACTATAATAATATTTCATAAACGCGGCCTGAGCAATATTTTATTCAATAATTAATATTTTTGACATTTTAGTGATTGTATAAGGATAGCTATTTTAAACATAATGGCAATTTGTTATATTTAGTTGTGTGCCAGATTATGTCATAAAAGTGATAGTGCTTATTTAAAATAGTGCCAAATTAAAGGGACCCGGATAATATTTTATTCTATGATTAATATTAAACATATTAGTGATTTGATACAACATAAGTATTTTAAGTATAAATGCAATTA